GTTTCCATTTGGGACCGTCCAAATTGAATAAATGTCCTGATAAAGGATCATCTTTTTCATTGTAGTAGTTACCGCGATGTGAAAACTCATTAAAATCGGTTATCAAGATCCGTTTAATTAAATCCAAATCCAATAAGACTACCGCTTTGCGTATTGATAAATAGAAACCGGCAAACGGCGCCTCAGCTTTGAACTTTTTATACAAATGTAAAAATGGTTCCTTTATGTGCTGGCTGTTACCCACCTTTTTCATATTACCATAGAATAGAACGGGTTTTTCATGCGGTATATTATGCACTGCGAAATACGTCTGGTGACGTCGTATAAAGTAGTAAGCGATAGTTATTAACGTAACCAATACATACGAAAAAATTTGCAAAACACTCATTTTCCTTGAGTTTTCTCTTCTTTCGCGAAGTCTTGTCTTTTGCAAGAAGGTTTTTAGAATACTGAGAACACCGAACTGTGGCTATTCATTATGAATGAAAATTTAAGCTTCATTTGGTTTGGAAGAGAATAAGCTTGTGCGATTATTGATAATAAAAATCTCAGTCATTTTGTGAGAGTTGCCATAATATTTTTTATTCTTCAAGAGACGAAGAGAAACATAATTTTTTTTCGGTTGTTTTTTCTCTTTAAAATTAAAACCTTTTAAAAGTTTGAATTGAAACCTGAGAAGGGGTTTGAAGGAAAACTTTATTCAATACTCGACTTTGCCGTTACTATGTCATTCAAGGAGGGAGAAGAACGTCTATGCGGCAAGAATTAATATTCTATTTATGTAAATATCCTGATTGTATCTTTGCCATACTAGTGCAAGTAGGTTTCAAGTGTTAGTATATTGTTTGGTCTTCCGAAAGCTGCTATCGAAAATCTCTTTTAATTATCTATCGATTTTCCTGTCAGCTTGCTGGGGTATTACGAAGTCTAGTTGAAGCTATGTGAGAGAGCCAATTAATTTTCCTAAAATACCTTGGTTGCTCTCGAATACTATCCCATTGACGCTTTCATCAAAAAAGTTAATCAGTTTCGGAATAAACAAACAAGGAATCGAGTTAATGGGCAGTCCAAATGCAAAACTGGAGACCCAATTGCTTAGCAAGACTCTTACGCTGACAGCTTTTATTTATGTCGAGAGAAGTTTCAACGAATACTAGAAGGAGAAATGTAAAATCACATGCAGAGTTTTTAACTAGGACCTCTAGTCAATAGATCCGGCGACTATCAATGCAATGCGGTCGCACTTCCTTTAACATTTGATTATAGCTTGACAGTATTTTAGTATTTGGTAACTCTGTTTGACCCTTCACTAAGTTTTGCATTACGTCGTAACAAGTACTACTAAACGAGAGAGAGAGTGACTAAGCGATTTAATTTTGCTTAATCATTACTCATTCTAGCCGATCTCCGACGCATTTAGATACTTTATTAATTTTGCATTTTAGATAAGCGATGCGAGAGAAAAAATATCAAGCGAATAGTGTTTAGCCATGAATTAGCAAAATATGAATATGAATAAAATAAATAAAATAAATGAAATTAAAAAAGATTATGTAACTGTAAGAGGGTTATAGTACTAGAAAGAGTTTTATTTAAATTGCTTTTAAATTAAATTTATGATTATAAAGTTTCATTTATTTTATGGCTTTGTTTTAATTTTGATAAATGCTAGTAAAACGTATTATGTCAACTTCACCACATCGTTTCTACCACCTAGGAGAAGCCATTAGAAAAAAAAACCGATTACTATGGGAATTTTGATTAGCTGAAGATTCTCAACCCATGCAGGCAGCTTAGATAAGACGGATATGAGGAAACTGAATCCTTTCTTTTCTTCTTAAACGCGATTAATCACACACCTAGATGTGCAATGATATTGAATGGAAAGAAGTGGGAAATGACAAAAAGATAGCGGTGGCCGCAACCATAATCGGTAAGCCATGTACTTGGTCTATCGTATTGAGATTTGAACCCACGAACATCGTCTTAGTTAATCACGACTCTCTTGCTCTATAGCGAGTTGGATAGATGCCTACAGGGTTTAGGGTGAGTACCTGCCTTGAAGGCTTAAGCTAACGTGATCGCCGAAGCAGTAATCGACGCCCCCAAAAAAACCAAAAAAGGACAATCCCCATGGAAAAAGGCTCTATCACTTTCGAAGGAGCCTATACACTTTGAGGTGAAATTCACACATTGACGTATCAATTAAAAAAGCAAATCTAACTAAAGATTGCAAGGATAAATAAAAATCTAAATAATCGATTCACGCTTGTCTGTCCGTCCGTCCGTAAATTCTTTTTGTTCTCTTGTATGCAAGCTAAAAGCTGTAATTTTTTAATTATTTTGAGGAAACATGGCACGATGTAGGGTTTGACCCAAGGACGAACACTCTTGAAAATGGCTCGTATAGGACCACTTTTTCAACCACTTCTCATATAACGTCTTATGCCGAATAGTATTTATGTCAATAACTGTGGGATGGTGCAGGGTAGTTAAGTGAGCCGTGGACCACTATAGCGTTTCTAATGGTTTATATTAAGGATGTTCACCTACAGCTGATAAAACAAAGTATAAAATAACATTTAATATTCGTCCTAAGTAGCATATAACTTTGTTACTCTGCTTTTCATCTTTTTTGTTGTTCAAATTATCTTATGCAGCAAAGAAATGTCACAGCCCATTATAATGCTGGATAAGCAAAAAGTAAAAAAGAAAGGAAAAAAAAGAAAATGTGTTTCTTCCTTCCTTATCAATGCTTCTAAAGGTAATGATGAACTAAATTAACACAAGCAAAGAGAGGACACCCGGTTAAATATATAGGGCTTGTGCCTGTACCATCTGTTTCCCTTTCCTTAGAAATAATGCATATTTGAAAGCTGTTTGTTTTTCATTTTCACGCTTGACTGAATTTTCCGGCCTTACTTACAAACAACAAAAAAAACAGGTCTTTTTCCTTATTAGTTGTTTAATTTAATAGAAATATTCCGGGAAAAACTTCCCCTGAACAAACTAGTTAGTAACGAGGCGTATATTGTGCTAAATGACTTTAATTTTGTTTAAATAATAATTTCTCCCGAATGTAATGACACACTCGTTTACAATAAATTGAGGGAATATGTTACTGTAACATATTACACTTACACCTGTGTTTAAACAGGTATTATTTAATGCGCTTCCAATACTGTACACCACATCCTACGTGCATTATGTTTGAGCAGAAGTATGCAACCCTCGGAAGGGCCCACCTTTTCATAGACTGCTCGATTCAGAATCAGATCGTGTAAGATCGTCCGTCCGTCGGTCCGTCTTGTTTTCGTGTGTTCAAAGTATAGGTTGCAATGTGTGAGCTATATTGTTTAAATCACTGTACACTGACTTGTTTTGGTCCAAGGTCGAACACTATTAACTATGGTTCGGAAAGTACCTTCTTTTTTACGTTCTTTTTCATATAAGAAAGTAAATTTAACTCTATTGTGTTTTTATTCTCCTTATTTTCTTTCTTCTTCTTGTTGTCTGTGCGATTGATTCTATGCGACCTATTTTGTTTTGTTCGAATTATTTTTACTTTATAAGTGAAGTACATTTTCACATCAACATGCAAAGTGAGAAATTAAATTTTTTTTAAAACGTGTCTATGTGATATTTAATCATTTATTTGGAAAGCACTTTCTCGCTCTTTCGTAAAACTTGATAGCTTATTTGCTTAAGGAGAATTTTTTGTGGCGTCAATCTCCGCCGCGTAAAATAAGTTTTTTTTTTGCTAATATGTTGGGTAAATCACTTGTCATTGCTACTTATGAAGTTTTTGAACGTTTTTATTCTCCACCTTCCTCCCACCCGCTACGGTACATTGGTATGTTAAATTTGAATGCATGTACGGAACACCGAGACTTGAGGTAGATTATACCCATCGATTTAGAAAGGCTGCCTATATCCATCTGAGCTAGTCCGTACGTATATCTGTTTTGTATTTTTGTTTTCAACCTGCAAATCGCAAGTTTTGAGACGTAAGGTTTGGGCCCACACACAAACGCCATTGCAAATTGTTCGGATCGGATCACTTTTTCGACCACTTCCCTTGTATGACTAACTATAGGCTGGTGTAGGGTATTTAATGCTAGTATTGCACTACAAGTTGTCACTTTTGTTTTGTATAAAAGAAAATTCGAGGGTGAACGCTATTGAAAATGATTCGACCCGGAACACTTTTTTGATCACTTCTCATACAAAGCCTTATTTTAAAAAGTTATGTTTTCACTTGCTTTTTGCACGGTCCCTACCCATAGCAGAAAATGTTTTTACGGGTAGTTGGTAAGGTTGACGATTGTTAAGTTTACCACTTGACCGATACCAAACATAAATTAAACAATTAATGGTTGCTTGTTTTAATATGTTTTGTTTAATATTCTTATTGAATATTTTAATATTTTCTAAAATTTCTATGCGCCTAAAATGCTATTAAAATTGCATAGTATAGTATAACTATAAAATAATTACCATTAGAGAGAATATATTTAAAGCAAAAAAGGAAAGAGCACAAACATTCTGCCATCTCTGTTTTCCATTAGGCTTAACATTAAAATGATTTCATAGTGTGTGTAAAAGTATGTGACTAGTAAATAATAAGTTTTAGTTGGTATTAAAACAAACACAATCATAAAAAAAACAAAAAAAACCGATAAATGTTATCTTTTCAATAGTCAAAAATATGCTATAAAAAGCGCCTAATAATATGCAAATAATTAAATTATATTTTTGTAAATTGTTTTGGTGTGCATTCATTCAACGGCCGATTATAGAAATATTTGGTCTTCTTATCGAGCGGGAACAATAGATCTTAATTTATGCAAACATGCATTTTTGGGATAAATTAGACAAAGGGAACAAAGATTTAAATTAATTTCTAACGAACATTGTAATTAATTAATGGAAAACAATGAGTGAGAGCTTTGCATGTAGATATATATATATATTTATATATATATATATATATATATATGTATGGAATCAACTTAAAAAAACATACAGAATGATAAAATACAATGCAATAAATATTTTTTCGACAATTGAACTCATTGAACTCATAAAATAAATTGCATTAGCCTTCAATCGAAGCTCGAACATCATGCATTTCAATGGAAGTTAATAATATTATACCATAACTGTAGGCATACTGGCTGGTTCGTTAGGGGCTTGTCAAATATCGTATGGACACGCAATTAGAGATCGATACTTGCTATTGCTTGCAAGTTATCGAAACGAATATTTATGCGTTCGCCACCTTAGTTTCTTGAGCTTTGCAATTACTATAACCATTTATGGGAGCAGCTCAGAGCCAAATTATTCAGCCTAAACTATATGTGGCATGTAGTGTCGCACTATTGCATGTATTGTCACGGCATCTCTAACAAAATTAATATAAAAGATTTCAAGTCTTGCCGAATAAACTCTTGGTCGTGTACATCGAACTGACACATACGTATATATTTAAAGATACATCACATGCTAAATCCCCTAACAACAATAAAAATTCTACGAAATGTAAAGTGGAAAAGCTTTTGCTACGAATAGCAATAACAATGCACACATTACATGTTACATGTTTAATTCGTTATACTCTACATCGACTGCGAGAAGGGAACGCAAAGTTCCTGCGGATATATGTAATACCGAAAACGATTTGGGATGGAACCAGTTTTTATTTTATCAATTGATTTTTGTCTGTCTATCCGTCCACTTGTCTGTGCGTGTATCTATTCGTCTGTCCATTCGCCCATGCGTCTATATGTCTGTCCATCCACATAGCTGTCCCCCTACTTATCTTTTCGTTCGTGTATCTGTCCATCTTTGCCTTCGTCCGTTCATTCTTTCGTCCGCCTATTCATAGGCCCCCCCACTCGCTTGTCTGTCCGTTCATGTCCTCGTGCATTGCTCTGTCCATCCATCCCAGAGGCTGCGTGCCTGTTTATCCATCCGTCCGTCTGTCTGTCTGTCCATTCATTTATCCATCAGTTCGCCTTTCCGTTCATTTGTTCATTCCGTCCTCCTATCTTCCATTCATATGTCTGTCCTTCTATCCGTCCATCCATTCCTTTGTCTGCCCATTCGTCTGTCCGTCCTTCCTTGCCTTCGTATTTATCTGTTTGCCTTCTTTTCTGTCCCTTTATCATCCTTTTGTTTACTGCAGACTTGTTGATATTACAGGCCGGACCGGTCTGTGGTTGAAAGTCAAATTAATGTGTTATACGCTTTAATTACTTTTTCAAAAGATGTTCAATTGTTTTGTTATCAGGAATACTACTACTATTACTGTAACTGCCCTTAGCATGCATGTATTTTTTTTAATCGAATGAATTGCTTTGGTACAAATATTGGATAATTTTCAATGTTATTGAAGCGTTAACGTTTACCCGAAAACGGGTCTAAGCTTTGAAAAGTTTAGGCAACGAAAGAAACATAACTCAGCAAAGCAAACGAACGCACACACACACAGCATATATACATATATTGTTGAAATCAATTAACTCTATGAAATTTTTCAACCTTACTTTTGTCCTCTTGTAACACAGAGAACCGTAGACGGCCTGAGAAATGAGTATGGCAGCGTATGTGTGATGCCTCTTTCTGGATGTTATGAGCATAGTAATAAAATAAATATTTACTCCCACTGCAATAATGGGTATAAAAAATAAAAAAAATAAAAAAAAAAATTAATTAATTTTTTCAAATCACCCTTCAGTTCATAAGTATTTTGCATGTGAAATGTACATAAATTAATGTTACATATGAAAAACATTTATGCATGTCTGAGTTCATATGTACACATTTATTTCAACATGTACCTCAAGAACGACAGAATATGTCACGAGAGAGAACGTATTAATTATTAAATTACAGTAATTATCACTTTTATATACATGAGAGATACATACACGTGCACACGTGCACATTTAGAATAAACCTTCCCATCGCCATTGAAACTCTTACACTCACCTTAAATCGTGCTTGAAGAATTTACGTCAAATATAAAAATTTCATATACATTTACGAAATTATGTTTCGAGATAAGACTCAATTTAATGATGGATCATGCATGCATGATGTTCCAGTTTAATGTTAAAATTTAATTATTTTGTAAATTTTGAATTGAAATTTACTGATAACTAAGGGAGACATGGTTATTCAATCAAGCATGCAGTATTTGCACATTAAAAGATAAATAAAATTGTACAAAACTTACATATTTACATAGCATTAGTATAATGCAAGAATTTTATCATCATTATCACTCATCCCCATGCCTCAGTTACCGCACAAACACTCGAGTTTAATGAACTATGAATTGCAAAACGAAAAACGTCAATGCAGAAATCCATAAGTTAAGGTTTTAAACAAGTATTCCAAGGTTTTCGGTTTTGGAATATAATTTTCATTTTTCTTTAACGACTCCGATGGTGGTGGTCTTGTAATGATATTAAAACTTCTCTTCTGTTAAGTTCAGCAGTTATGCTTAAGCAAATAGCTCTTGGGGTCAAATGTAAATATTTACATATCAAGCCTTTTAAATGCATATAAGCAAAAGTAATTTTAAAGATTTTTGTGGTCCCTTCGAAAGTGAAGAGAAAACTTTCCAGACCGTTTTGTTTTACTTCTTTTTTTTTTTTTTGTTACTGCAAAGAAAATTTAGCACTTTTTGGTTTTTTTTTCAACATTTTTCCTTAAGGGTGTTAGAGAATTATATACCAAAACGAGGACATATATATCATATACTTTTTATGGCGGTAGCAGTGTTGTTGCCTATGGGATCTCAGTCATACAAATACAAACACAGACACATATATATGTCTTTTTGGATATATATATATACACATTGATACACATACACTTCCAAACAAAGAATTAATTCACCTCATTTACCAAAAAAAAAAAAAAAAAAAAATTATATACAAACACTGCTCCAACTACGATGAATTTACGGTATACGGTGTGTTTACGTCTTTCCCTATCGTTTAGGTTTGTTTTTTGTCTTTCATATGCAAGCATTGCTATATTTATTACAAAAAAAAAAAAAAGCTGAAATAACAAACAAAACTCAATATTGTTTAACAATGTTGCTAACAAAGTTTTCAGTTCAAGTTGATTTCGTCACATGCAGAAAAATAAGCGAAAAAGAAAAAGTGGTTTTACAAAAAAGGCAAACGCATCATTCATATGTTTATGTATCCACAATAAGCAAACAGTGCGATACTCGTCGTTCCCTGTATGTGTGTATAAGCGTGCTTTTGCGTGTGTGTTTAATGATGACTGTGTGGCGCATATATACATACATACATACATACATAGTCATTACACATTAAAACATGGTTAATGGGCACAATTTATTCTACTGCTGCTGCTGCTGTTGCTGTTGCTATTGCTCTAGACATACTCCAAGCAATTGAACGACAAAAGAAGAGAAGAAAGAAACGGGAAATAAAAGGAAAATAACACAACAAATTTATCCAAACTGTTTACACATGAGAACATATGTATTGATACATGTGTATGAGCGCGTTCAAATACACACACACACACACATACACAATGTTATACAATATTTTATATTTCGCCGGCATACCTTCATGTGAACATTTAATTTATAAGAGTCTCTGCTCCATATATATATATATATATATATGTAGCTGTGCTTGCATGTGCGATGAGTAATGAGTAATGTTTTCTGCTCTCTAGCAATGAAATGTACAAGGAAATTGGAAAAATGAAAGAGTCGAAAAAAAAGTCAAAAAACCTTTATGCAGGATACACTTTAGAATGAAATGTCCTTTCTTCCTCTCTATGGCATATAGCAATTTTCTTCGCAATATTGATTTTAAAGTTTTTTTTTTTCTTCAAAACTAAATAATTTTTTTATAGTAAACACAACAATACGATTATCGCATCAAAAGCAATACGCATCGTAGATACCATGAAATCGATATGTAGTTAATCGAATTGTCCTTCGGTGAATACCATGATGGCTGTAGTTGCTCCGACGTTTCGTGGCGACGTTAAACAATGACTTGTAAGAGAAAGCTCGCCAGAGTTGTCCATTGCGGAAAGTGGCGCATTAGCCATTGCTTTTACATTTGCTTGAAAGTGGTACGGTCGCCTCCCATGGGGATTGCGGGGGCGTCGATTATCGCTTATGCAATAAACTTCAAGGCCGTTCCTTGCTAGCACATCGGTATTCACGTGTTAAAATCTCAGTGTGCTTTGATGACTATACTCGGTTGCAGTAGCTCTAGTAAGTGCTCCACGGGAAAAGACACAACACTTCCCGCTTGCAACTACACTTGCTTTTTCTTTTAGTAGATGTGGTGGCAGCGCACTGCCAACTAGTAGCCCGGCACCGGGTGTAAAGCCATCCCGGAACTGCTCTCACTCTATCTTGAGATGGATCCTTATGGATTCTTGGTCCTGAGATCAGGGGTTTGGATGTCGCCTTCACATGGCTTTATGTCGAACGATGTCTTGCAAAAAATCAATGGCATTTCTTCCATCCTTCGGTATGCATTAGTACGATCGCTAGCAGGCTGCCTGACGTAATTTCCAATTCCAGAAATCTGGAAAACATGTTCCTCAAAATGCTTAACCAAGTGCTAAGATGGACAAAACCCGAGTAATGTGCATCCTGGTTTATGCCTCGGTATAGGTCGTATGCGACCACACTTCCTATATCTCTAAATGGTCACCATACTTGGTCGTAGCTCTTGTGAGTGGTCATGATTAGATACATACCCACTAGACGGCGGCCGTTTATGTTCTCTTTCCCCACTTCTTTCTGACCATCATCGTTTTACACGTATCCAGATCCAGGGAATGGACATCTGTCCAAGGGCAATGCTATGAGAACAGTAATAAATATTCGACTTTCTGTTACCTGAAAATGTTTATGTTACATTAACAGTAATTATTATTTGAAGCTTTTTACAATTCTATTCTCATTTAATCAGACCCACTTTTCAGGTCATCTTTGAATTATAAATAATACATTTGTGCATTTGTATTTTCATTGCAGACAACTTACGAATACTAAGTGCGCGAAAATTTCCGGTAAGTTTCCAAAATTATTGTGTTTTATTAGTTTAAGTTGCTTAATAGGAGGAAAAATTGTAAAAAGAAACTTTGTTAAGTTAAATAAAGGTTTAAAAAATGTAAAAACTCAAACAACATTTTGATTACATATAACAGTAAAAGATTGGATTAAAGTTTTCCATAGGAATTTATATGTAAATGCATTTATCTAATCTCTCGCTTGCTTTCATCTACATACTACATATGGTGCATACGTGTGTGTATTCAACATGTGTGTGCTTGCTATGGAACCGCCTAACATAAAATATCCATCATGTCTTCAAAATGTTTGATGGGTGGTGGTGGATTTCTTTTTCATTTTTTATTTCTTTTACTTTAACTATTTCCACGCCTTAGGTTATTTTATGATAAGTTGTGTGAATGCTTTTTCTTTCATCTTTTTTTTTTCCTTTATTTATTTTTTTTTATTTCGTACTAACTTTCCTAATGTTTTAATTTTTATTTAATGTTTTTCTTTTCTTTTTTTTTTTTGTTTTTGTTTCTTTTTTCTACGTAATATATGTTTCTTTCAAATGCCCACAGCATATGGTTTCATTAGCTGCATGGTATTAAGGCCCTAATGCATAACAATTTTAATGTATTATTGATGATGATGATGACGGTGACGTTGATGACGTTAATGTAATAATTTTGCACAGTTGTTGAGATGGGAAGATAAAGTTTTTTTTCTTTTTCTTTCCTTTTTTTCTTTCTTTTCTCGCTCTTGTTGTTCCTGATATGTATCTTGCTCTTGCTGTTGTTGTTGTTCCTGATATGTATCATTGCTAGTAATTTTTTTAAGATAACATTCTCAGAGCAATTAGGTAAATTACCATTGAAGCTATTAAATGCTACAGTTGATCTTGCAAACAACTTTAAATATGCAAAGATGAAAGATACGAGATAAAGGATATGGATTATGGAAAGCTAGGAAAGTGCGATATGAATCTGTTTGAAAGTTTCAGTTAATTATTTGAGTGTAATAACTTTTTGTCTTTACATCTTTTAGAGAAATATTCCCCATGTTTGTGTGTGCAAAATGTAAATTACTTAAGCCGGTTTCGTTTGCGGGCTTGAGCCAATTTGAGATTTTAACCAAAGATTTGTTAAATAAAAATCCAATTTAAAAATGCTTTAGGATCAGATATGTGATTCGCTTAAATAAAAACGTGATAACATGTTGTTATAATGTAAACTGTGAGCAGCAAATGTTTCGCAAGTTGGTTTTGTTCTGATAGCCAGGGTTAAGCTTATCACTGCGTATTACCGGCTGCTAAGCTTTGCATTATTTTCTGAGATGAAGATAAAAGACGACATGGAAGCCGGATAATTATCGCATTTGAAGTTAGCTCTTACATAGGCCATTAGCTCGACTTATATTATATAGCTGATGTTATATGAATTGGCAGAGCTGATCGGAGCTTTCGAAGATTAGTTAGGTGCAACGGCGATTGTCATTCTTCTCGATCGAGCCGTTATAATGTGCAGGTCGCAGCCCAGTCCAATTTCGAATGTTATGCAGCCACAATGTTTGTTTTCTAGCAAAGCCTCTACACCCTTCGTTACGACCATGTATCCAGACTACGAAGTTTGTTTCGATATAATAATAAAATAACATTTTAATTATCTGCAGGATTCTCATAAGTGACTGAGAACAACATCGTGATAAGATTAGGATTAAACAAGTAAAAAGACTCATCACGAAATACATTGGACTACCCGCCATTTATTCATATAATGATTTTTCAAAATAAGGCGTTATATGGGAAAAAGGGTCGAAAAAGTGGACCCATCCAAATCTGTAGTTTGAACACAAAATAATAAGACCGACCGACAGACAAGTTTAAATCAATTCAGAGAATGAGTCGATGAATCAAGCAGCATTCTTCCCAAATCTTTCTATGTATTGCATGCACATACATAAAAACTTAATATATCCTTGTACCACAAGAGATGTAAGGTATAAAAAGAAACAATATTGATGTGTACTATGTATGGGTACGATATTGCATTGAATAATCAAAAAAAGATTGATTAAAAATTTTTGAAGAAAAATAAAAATCAAGATAATAAAATTGAAGATCAACTCGCTGATAACAATCCAAAGTGTTTTCTTTGTAAATTATTAGCTACGTCTACTAAGGCATTGTCTGCACTCTTCCATATACATATATACATATATATACATATAATTTAATTTGATAATCTTTGAGAAAATTAGTAAATATTTATCCTCGAGCAAGAATCGTGGTCACTACTAAAAACCACTAATAAAACATTTCCCAACATTTCCAATTTTATTGAACATCATCGGATAAATTGAGTGTTAAGCTAATGAATATTTTGATGCCAGGTGGTGAATTCTAACGAGTAAACCTTTCTCACCTGTTTTTATTAAAACAAAAAAAAAGTCAAGAAAGAACAATAAAAAAAAAAATTTCCTTAATCCGAAAGTCAATAAATTTGATAAAGAAAAAAAAAAAAAAAGGAAATAAAAATAAAAAACGATAACACAATGAACACAAAAAGCAAACAAATCAAATAACTGGTTAATGATTAAAGTTCCCTAACAGCTGTATATATAAACGTAAACCTCAAAAACCTTTTTCATATGCTTTTGTCTTTTTTTTTTTTTTTTTTTTTTTGTTGGTTTGATAGAAAATCAAAGCAGTCAAGAATAACAACAATCATGATGATGTTAAGAAAATAAGCAGAAGACGACTGACAGCATACACAAACAACAATAATATAAAAACGAAACGCATTCTTATCTGATTTTCGTTGCCTTCTTCTTTTTTTTTTTTTTTTGCTTTCTTGAATATTTCTATATATATATATTTGGATACGTGTAGAAGGTAACTTATGTATATTATTACTTAAGCCTTAAAAGAAGAAGAAACAAAAGATTTCATTGTTATGATATCGTACAATGATTATTAAAGGTTTTTTTTTTTTTCGCTGTGCGCGAGTGCAGTAATGCTGCCTACATTTAAAAAAAAAAAAAAAACGAAAGAAATCATGACTTTTATTATAAGTTCATAAAATGATGAGCATGATGATGTACAATCGCAAAGACATATATATATATACATGCCTAGTACACTGACAGACGAGAAAAAACTCTTTAACGATCAAAACGTAATCAATCATCTCTCTCTCATCATCAATATCAGAGCTATAAAAATGAAACCTGAAGCAATAAACCCTACGACGCTACGATGTTGAGGCGGTTTTAAAGTTAGAAAGGTTTGGCGGTTAGGCTTAAAGGTTAACTTATTTACAAAAAAAATAAAACAAAACAAAATGATTGAATTCATTTTATATTTTATTTTTGTAGTAAAGTTTTGTAAAACGTGCCTTAAATTAAAGCAAAATCAAGTCAAACAAATAATTCAACTAAAAGTTTGCAAACCGTTCTTATAGCGCAAAAGCAACCGCAACATTGTTGCATCTAGGAAATTAACCGCAAACATTATGCTTTGATGGGTTTGTTCGTGGCTCGAACAAAAATAGTAAAACAAACAAAACTGTATTCAGTCGTTTGTCAGTCAGTCAGTCAGTCAGTCAGTCAGTGAGTCAGTCAGTCAGTTATTCAGTCAGCAAGGCAAAGAGAAAACCGCATAACTATACGTGTGTGCTTAACTTTATGTTATGTCGCTATTGCGTTACAAATGTGAATCTGAAATTAGCGTTAAAATCGAAAACGTTATGCCTTATGGTCAGCGTTTCTTACAAGAAGAAACAGTCCGTCTTATGACCATTTACGGCACTCTTATAGCTTATTTCGTCTCTGCTCTTTTCTTGTTTGCTGTTATTGTTGTTCATATTCCGAGAAAGACAATGAGAGTTCAACTGTCATGGTCAAAATTCATGATTGATAGTTATTCCTTGGCATTTCTAAATGTGTGTGAATGTTTGCGTGCAAGCATATGCATATATATTCGTAGAATGTGCAAATATATCTGCGTACTAAGTGATCTCCGCAAAGTTCGAATTTATATTTTTTAAAACACATTATTATCCAAAAACAGAGAGTAAATGATGAATGATTTTGAAAACACCAAACAAACTCAGTACCTGAGGCGGTCGGTGCGCATCAAAACTGAACGCGAAAACTCATAGGAAAATACTTGTATCGTAGATATTTCGAACGACGAACAAATTTCAAATATTTTCTTGCCACACGTGAAGCGCATGTAAAATATTAGACCAGATGGCTCAAGTTCATATGATTTGATATAAGGTTATTACGCTAATGGGCTTATATTTGCTTTATATCAAATTGTGAAAAAATTTCTATAATTAAGCTTTTAAGACAGATTCGACACCAATTGAAAATGACTCAACATAAATAATGCATCGCTCAATAAGACCATAGGATCACTAATCAAACAACATCTTTAGGGCAAAGTTTAACTGTCTTTATTAATAGAATCTTCTGCCAAGCTAATGGATATATTCAAATGCTTCTCTAATATTTCTATGCCTTTCTTATAGAATGATTTCTCCAATCTCTCGAAATACGTTTCAGCTCCGGCGAGCTTCTTTTCATTAGAGGCATAGTTCCATTCCGCGAGCTTTTCTTTTAAGATTCGCGCACAAGTAAAAGCCGCTGAGGGTTAAATCTGGAGAATAGGATGGACATGAAAGCAATTCGAATAGCAATATGTGCTATCTTGCCATTGTTGTGATCAACTGGTGACATAGCATTTTTTTCTTTGTAATCCAGGCCCCAAATTTTTAAATTTACCCTTCAGTGCTATGCAAAATTTACTATTAATCCTTTGGACCTTTCTAAGATAATTGATGCTTGTTATACCCTACGCATCCCAAATTGGGCACGCCATAGGCTTCCCAGCCGACTTTTGCCGTTTTAGTAGCTTTGGGTGACTTTGGCCGTCTACTTGGCCGCTTGCAGATTTGACTCCGGAGTGCAATGATGAATCCATGTTTAATCTATTGGCGCATAACGCATGAAA